TAGGAACTTTGGGTTTAGGGTTTAGGGGTTTAGGGTTTAAGGGTTTAGGGTTTAGGAACTTTGGGTTTAGGGTTTAGGGGTTTAGGGTTTAAGGGTTTAGGGTTTAGGGTTTAGGGGCTTAAGGTTTGGGGTTTGGGGTTTAGGGGCTTACGGTTTGGGGTTTCGGGGTTTTGGGGTTTAGGGGCTTGCGGTTTAGGGTTTACTTAGGGAGCCCTAGCCCACCAAGTCTCAAGACTTGTGAAACGGCAAATCCCAAGAACGCAAGCCGTGGTCGGTCAACGACGAAGCAACCCCAGAACCCCAAACCCTAAACCCTACTATAGGGGCCTCGATAACTGCCTATACTATTCTGGGGGCTCCTTTTTATGCTTATAGTATGATGGGCCCCAAAACCCTATTCTAATTATCAAGGCCGCTACATTAAGCCCTAAGCCCAGACAAAAACTTAAAACCAAAAACCTATACAAAAGAGAGGCGCGTGGTCAACCCCCTAAACCCTAATCCCCTAAGCCCTAAGCCCTAAGCCCTAAACCCTAAACCCTAAACCCTAAACTCCTAAACCCTAAACCCTAAACCCTAAGCCCAAAGCCCTAAGCCCTGAGCCCTAAACCCTAAACCCTAAACTCCTAAACTCCTAAACCCTAAACCCTAAACCCTACTACGTCACATCTCCAAAGAAGACCAGGGCGCCATGCAAGACAGGGCCTGATCTTGCACGGGACCCAGACGTCTGAGAGACTTCTAGGATTCTAGGCTTTCGGGTGTTTAGGGCTTAAGGTGTTTAGGGTTTAGGGTTTATTATCTAGGGTTTAGGATTTAGGGTCTAGGGTATAGAGTCTTGGGTTTACGGATTTTCTAGGCGGTTGTTTTGGGTTCGGGTTCAGGGTTTAGCGATGCTTATATAGGGCGATTTCATGGCTGTTTGCCGCGGGCGTTTAGGCCTTTGGTCTCGTCCGGTGGAACGGATAGGGCACAGATATCGACAAGTTTGCCACAGAAGCCCTGGGTATGTGTTGATAATCTGCGTCCAGCACTTGGTGGCAGAGGCTTGACATGTTCTGCATCCCCTGAGTGTTCAGTGCCAATATGTGCGTGATAATAAAGGTGGTGGGGGTTCAAGTGAGCAGGTGTTTGATTCGGGTTTGGTTGTTAGAGGTGCCTTTGCTTGTGCATGTGTGTGTGTCTGTGGTTCGGCTCATGCCTCTTTGATTCATAGGTGTGCGTATAGTCCCGGTAGTGTGTTGGTAGTACATCGCCAGTTCCGCAGGTATTCAAGGTAGGCCGGTGCTGGAATGGCTGGTGGTGTCAGTGAGACGCAACATCATGAGCCTTCGGATGGAATACATATTGTGGTTAAAGGCATCACGGGTGATATTCTTCTGGAATGTCAAGTGCAAGATCATGCAACCATGCGCGATTTAGAAGCGAGGGTAAAGCAAGCAAGGCCAGAGTGGAAGTTTCAATATGTCGCACTCATCGAGGGCGATTGCGTCCTGAAGAGATCGCACCAGGTTTGGAAGTCGGCGGACTCAGGGAAGCTCGAGCTGATAGCAACTGCCTCCCCTTACTGCTGTCGCACGGTCTTTGCCACCCTCCACGATTGCTTCGAGGTGGCCATAGATGAGCCAATGAGTGAAAACGAGTATGAAGATGTCATAGTTGCAGAGCTACCTGTGGATGAGCTTGCCGGTACACACCTATATATGCTGTTCCGGAAGGAGTTCGGGAAGGCTTTTGCGGACGGTCCAAATATGATGTTTTTGTACCATCTCACTATGAAGTCGCTCCGGCTGAAGTTAGAGTTTTCGTTTTGCGAATACAGGGATGACGATATCGGTATGGTTCAGGGTCCACTGCTGTCCTTGGACAACCTGTCGCGTGATTTACAGCTCGTCCCCTCGAAGAACAGGACGCAGTAGTACATAGGTCGGAATTTAGGGCTTCGGGTTTGGGGAAATTCAGCCGAATGCCTAAATTCTGAGCCTTCAAGCTAAAGCTAGAACCACAACATCGCCCCAAGAGTCCTACCAGCCAACGAGGAGCCTCGCAGAACGCATCACCAGCAGACTCAAGCAGCTGCAAGACAGTGAGCCAGGGGGCGAAGCCTAAATTCTCGGACTTTTCAACTTCTGGTGCTCATACCACTTAATATCACTTAATGAATCTCTGACTCGTTATACTTGTGGTTGTATGTCATTATCACCATCGCTTGTATAGGCTCGAGTGTTTCTGGATGAGCTCACGGCCTTCTGAAACCAGCACCAGGGTTCCTTGCAACCACCATACTTGAATATACCCCGAAACACTTGTCCAATCCTTGATGCCCCTATAGGAAGCACTGAACCCTGAACCCAGAGCTGCACCAGGCTGTAGAAAATTGCAGCTCGTTGACTGTCGACAGCAAGGCGTCCTCAAGTCTTCCAAGAATCCACAGGACTTTGGTGTCTGCTCTAGTGTAAACCCTAAACCCAATCCCTAAACCCTAAATTCTAAAACCCTAACCCCCTAAACCCTCATCCCTAAATCCCTCAACCCTACTAAACTCTAAACCCCTAACCCCCTAAACCCTCAGCCCCAAACATGTACCCTGGATCTCAGCATCTTCCCGCGGTTGCACCTTATCGGAAGATCTGGGGTGCTGCAGGGTCCTTGCTGTGGGAATCCCGTATGCCAAGACGACTTCATACTTGTACAGTGTGGTCGGGCTTGCGGTTTTCGGCGCTGGCGGCTTGGCTGGAAAACTGCGCCCCAAGCCTGAGCCTGAATATGTGGCAAGAAGTTGCCTTCTTCCTTGACTTGTGCAACCCTGCAATAACCCTTCAACCGTAAGCCCTGAACCTTGCAAGCCGCAACCCTTGCACCCTTCCGACTCCTTCAATCCTAAACCCCAAGTCCCAAACGGAGACAACCTGAAATGGTCGACAACTCTTGGCCTAAAGTTTAAAGGACTCAGCGGTCACGGCAGAGCCCAGGAGTCGAGACATTGCTTTGGGTTTGTGGGTGGGTTTAGGGTTGCTAGGCCGGTGGATGGCTGGGTGTGTGGGTGGCTGTGCGGCGAGGTGGGCAATTACCGGTTTCACGATTTGTAGAAAGGTGCCTTGCAGGTTCTAACTTTCCTTTTTTGAGGGTGTGAGTCTCCCTGGGAGCAAAAACGACAAGTGAGGTTCCAACGTCGCTTGCACTTCCCTGGGCGGCCCCTGTTACCCGAGACTGTTTTTTGCTGTTCTAACTTCACGTCCCGGAGCGCAAAGCGGAAACCCTAATGACATCTTACAGCATGTTTTTTCGTCTAGGTCTTGGGCTCCGCCTGGCATCGACGGCGAAGGGCACGTAAACTGCCAGGTGGAGTCAGTTGCGTGAGTCAGTGTCATTCCAAAGGTCCTTCAAAATTAGCGTTTAGGGTTTTGGGTTATGCCAAAGATCCGTGCAATGAATACAAAAAAGGTTCGGGCTTAGACAACCGTCCGGGATAAATTCTACGCAGGACAGGCATATTTTTGCAAACGAGGGTTTCCTGCAGGGTGCTCGTCCTGGTGGGTGTTTCTTTTTTGCGTTTACTCGACTTCTGCAAGGCATTTCATAGGGGCTGAGAGTCGAATCTTCGCCGCAACCCTTGCAGGCACTGATAATGATAGGGTTTAGGGTTTAGGGTTTAGGGATTAGGGTTGGTTCAAAGATTTTGCGAGGGATCCTTATAATACTGCCTTCGAGAAGTATAAGGGGCCTGCACCGAGTAGAAGTTCAGGACATACCTTAACCCCACTGGTTGAAGGACTTGTGCAACGAATCCAAAACAAGGAACCCTGAAAAGGTAGATTTTTGCTGTTGGCTCAGGTATGGTGATTTCTGTACGGAGGAACCTCAAAGCTAACGCCCCAAGAGTGGTCACACAACCTCGGCACACCTATGTGGGCGTCTTGATTCCCTGTAGCCGACAAAGCTTATTAGTTCAAGCTTTCAAAAATAGTTGTGGATCCCTACCATGGCTTCTAAAGGTACATCCTTGAAAGTGTAGGTCTTTTCGGGCCACAGGTAGGGTGTAGTGTTTGAGCGTTTAGGCACTGAGCGTTTTCGGTTTCGGGTTTAGAGGATGTGCTGGGGGACCTCGAGATGAAGATTGCGAAATTTGGTCCGTTTCCATACCACCACGAAATGGAATCTTAGTAGCTGAGTAGGTAACCTTTAACCTTTTGGGGTTGCATTATTCTGCTTAACCTTTTTGGGGCTAGGGTATTCAGCCCGTCAGGAGTTTCCAACCCGCGGGTAGACCATCAAAGCCAGACCTCTGTTGCAAATGCAGGAGCTCGACGAATCAAAGCGACGAGTAGAGGCCATCGGTGTAGGGTTTAGGGTTTAGGGTTTAGGGTGTAGGGTTAGGGTTTAGGGTTTAGGGTTTAGGGCAGTCATGTCGGTGTTCGAGCTTTGATCGTGATTTGGGCCGTGCTGGTTGCAGCTAGTCCGCTCTGCATGGAGCTTTCAGGATGCGAAGTTCAGAGTCCGGTTTTGGGGCGCGGTCACCTACCGTCGGTTACTGTCCTTGAAACAGCATAGTCTTGTAATGTGTCGTGTATGTAACTGGACTTCCAAGGGTGTATGTAGCTGAATATGTGGCTCACTATTGAAAGCAATTAATAACTGAAGTACATTTTGGAAGGTTTGATTTAGCACCTGAAAGCCCGGAGCCTAGCCCCCGTAACCCTGGTTTCAAGGGCGCAATGATGGAAATTTGGGCATGGCTCATTTCGGGCTTAAGCAAAGCCCTGCGCCTGGGTTTAGGGTCTAGGGTGTTTTTTATTTGTGGGTTCCGGCGACCAACTTTCGAAGATGGCGAAAAGATTGCAAAATAGACCCTAAACCCTAAACCCTAAACCGTAATCCCAGCTCAGTCATGCAGAAAGCTGACGTAGGTTTTCGACTTCGATGCACCAACCCTGACACTGAATCCTAAAGTCGAGTGCGAAATTTCTCTCAACTCCACTTTGCTCCGATGCCTTCTGTTTTCATTTCCTCTCCATATGTTGTGACAAACTGTTGTGGCACTGTGGTTACCTCATCGCCGTGCGGGCGGACAGGCAAGTGATGGCTGACTCGACTTCAGCTACCCCTACACCCCAAACCCCTAAACCCAAAACTCTCAAGCACATGATAAATGGAAGGTGTGTGTTGAGCGGCTTGGCTCGCAAAGTCATAAGCATCCTTTTTTAGTGTTCTGGGAAGGCAGGGCAGGGCAGGCCCCGACACACCGGTTTGGAAGGCGTGCGAGGTCGACAAGCAAAAAAAACACTCGCAGGGAACAGGGAAGGGCAGGGAAGGGCAGGGCAGAGGGCAGGGCAGGCAAACCCTACGCACCTTCTGTGAATCGAAATAGTGTAGTCACTTAGTGTCTCGCGTCGTGACAGTCCGCATGACCGATTGTGTAAGTCCTAAGGCCGGAAGCCAGAGAAGCTCGTCGCAATTTTCTAATCCCACATCCTAAAACCGCCACTCCAAACCTGAACCAGCCCTGAACACACCCTCAGCTTTACCCCCCCAACCCGACACTCCAAACCCAAAACCCGGAGACAAAATCTAAAGCCCTTATGAGGCTTCTGCAACAGCCGTGTAGAGCCCTTATACAGCTGTTCCGAAGCCGACCAAAGGCCTTCGCTCCCATAGAAAGCCCCACATCAACGGTGAAATCGGAACCCCAAGCCCTAACCCGAGGCCTTACACCTTAACGCCGCCGTAAATTCCAAACCCTGACCCCACCCCTAAAGCTCACATAAACGCAGGTTGGGGGTTTAGGGTTTACGCCACAAGTAAACCCCAACTCAAACACGAAACCCTAGAGCAAAAATCCTTGGAAAAAGCCTTTGCCGAAGCCTTCTCGATAACCCCTCAAACCCTGTGAAAAAGAACTACACTCCGATTCTATACCCTAGAAACCTACGTAGCTCTGTGCTCTTCGGCCCTGAAGCCTCCACCGTACACCCTGAACCCTAAACCCT